ACACACACACAGTGTAACACACTGATAGGGGAAGCCTAACAGACAGACAGACACCATCACGGTCATAGTCAGAATTTTAAAACTATAATAATAATATGAGTTGAACTTTCCCAACTGACCCTTTTTTTGTGTTTCTAGCTGACTTGTTTGAAAAGACACATTGTTGTTGTTGTTGCAGTGTAGAGCTTGTTAGTCTTTGTATTATATATATATATAATAAAGAAAAATGTAAGATTAGACTGTTGTTTTGACATAACCCTATTCGGTTGCTTAGCTTACTTATGTTACATTTTCACATTTAACGTTACATGTGAAAAGGCTTTTAGGATGAACACAAAATAAGTCTCTAAAAGTATCTTGAACTGTTTTTCTTATTATACAGCTTTTTATTTTTTAATTATTCTGTTATCAGTTCAGTTATATTTACTTGGTAACTGGATGATCTAAGCTAAAATAAGATTATTTGACCTAACTTCTTAAAATTCTGTTTCACAAAATAAAGGTCTAAATGGTCTTTTCCACACTCCCAGGAATAAATATTGAATCCTTTATTTATTGGCCTAAAAGTAGGCTAATTAAATTTGAACAGTTTTGGAATTATATCCATCCATTGATGTTTAATTATTGAATGTAACTCCTCCCAGGTTCCTCAAACTGTCAAACTCCCAGAAAGTAAATTACCATGCACATTGTACAGACACACAAAAACACACACTCACATAACTGTAAAACAGACACAGAGACTCCACTGTGAAGCTCATATGTACTTATACTATGACACATTAACGACAAACCAACCAACATGGAGAATGACCATTAAGGGGCCTATTGACCTCCATTAATGACTCATAGAGAGTCATATTAATTCACAGGGGACACATAGTCTGCTAATGTGTGTGTGTGTGCTGAAATGTGTGTGTCTGTCTGCCTCACTGTATTTTGACTTTATTCGAATCTATGCAGGCTTTTTTTTGACAAGGGAGATAATTATCTCTTGTCTGTTTATCTGTCTATCTTTTTGTGCCTTTGTGTCTCTTTCTTTTGTGTTTTTGGCAGAAAAATGCATTTATAAAAACCTGGGATGTGTGCCATTAAGAGCAGCGGCGGAAGCAGACAGTATCAGTGCAGGGATAATGATAGCTGGATAGGACGGCGAGGATTAGCACACGACTAAGCTTGTTGTGACCACAGATTGTGGGGCACTCGAAATGAGCACTGCCGGGCCACGGCCAGGGTGGATTAGAGTTGGGTTGGTCTGGTGGGGGCAGGGGCCGGACGGATGCGTGAGTGACTACATGCTTTACTTAAAGGCTAGCTGGAGGGTTTAATGGCTAGCTGACTGGTTAGCTGGTCTGCTGGCTGGTGTATTGCTAGGATTGTTGAAATTCTGGCAGGCTGCCCTCGGTTGCTGTCGCTGGCAGGGAAAAGAGCCATCGAGCTCTTGGATCGACAGGTCATAATGTCAGGTCATGAGCCAGAGTGACTGCTACTGATTTACGCTGGAAAGATTTGCAGCATATGGTATTCCTATAGCAACTGCTAATCAAAGAGCAATTCATACTTACTCATTACAGTGGATTAAGGTGTATCAGTATGTGAAGCCATAAAACCACAGCAACACTACAGCTCTCTATTAGATTTTCTACTGGGACAGATAACATCAAGTAATCCTCCATCGTCTCTCATTTTGGCACTCTTGTTGCACCTCTGCCTGAAATCCTGTACAAATTACACTCAGTTGCCAAATTAGTTGGTACACCTAAAACTAATGGAGTCTAACACCCCTGCAATAAATCCAACTTTCATGAAGGTTATGATGTCCAGTTTTTGTTCAGAGGTGTTGATTACCCTTCATGGTCATTTGGAGGCTGTAGTTTGTGCTGTCAAATTGTACTGCATTACACTGAGAGGTGTTTCTAATATTTACTCTACCCTCATTAATATAAATGGAGTGGACAAAATACACTTCTCACATGAGAACACCAAATAAACTAAAAAAATAATTTTGTAACTGGACTACACTGAAGAGGAGATTCTGTTTTAGAATAATTAACATATAATACAAAGTATACAGGTACAACTCTGGACATAAAGGTTAACTAAGGTGATTTATGACATAAAATACATAATAAATCAAATGAAGCATTTGACTCTTGTCCCACTCACCACCTAAAAGATGATGATGCTATATATAAATCTGTCAGTCTATTAAGATGTGACAAACAGAACAGGCAGAAATGGTCAAATATTGGTTTCTCTGCCAAGAGTTTATGGATCATTTTACTAAATTTCAATTTTATTTTAGATATATGCTTAAGCCATATTCTAGATTAAGTTTACCGCGGGCCATTAAAAAAATTGCAGCAGCTGCAGTCTGGCCACCCTGGACCTAAGCAGTATCGGCTAAAGCAACACAAACTGAACTGACACTGTGTCCATTCGAATGATCCTCAGTTATATTAACAGAAACTATATTTTCCATGATGCTGTGAATGGAATCCTAATATACAGCAACCTGATTATTCTTATATAACATAATTATCTGTATTCACACAAGTATGTTGTGCACTCTGAGCACATCTCACACCACATTTGTGATCCTGAATTTAAAAGTGAACTGACTGTATTCATAACATTTAAGAGAACTCTCTATGGTCTACAATAACACTAGAGAACACTTAGAGACAAGTGAGAAACATAATATCTTTTCACTAACTAAAGTGTGCTAAAATGATAAAACCTCTCATTACATTAGGATTGTGGTTTATATATTAGGTTAGTATTGATACAGATTAAGTTGCATGCACTGGATTACTTGCATGTGTTTCAAAGCTCTATCTGTTCTGACAATGACATGTTTTTTTATCTGTGGATCTATCAACCCCCCCCCTCCACACACACACACAAAGACATAGGATTCACCTGTTTTGACCCCTTAAATACTGACCTTTGAGGTCACCAAGCGGCACTCTGACTAACTCTGTGATAATACCAGCTCACACTAGTCACCACTAAATATGATTGTGCTCTTGTCGTGTTGGAAAAGATTTAGTGGTGAATATCTGAATCTTGATCTCTGAATAGTACAACAACACACGGGTGCCTGAATGGAGAAGCACAAAGCAGCATTGTGGAGGCAGCGACAGGCCTCATTAGCTGCACCACATCCTGGTTATCTGATCTCCATGCGCAGTCTGACTTGTACTTGTAACTTATGACTCACCTCAGGATCAAAGGCGCGAGTGTCAAACTACCTGCCAAAGCCACATTTTCTGACAAAATGATACCAAGGATGTGCTAACCTATGAAAGTGGAGGCATTCATTTGAAATAGGAGCTGTTCTGGTCAGTATTAGTCAGCACTGATGCTCCGGGTTATCTTTAAGATCTGTGTTAAACCAGAGACATGAATGTACATTAATAGTATAATGGGTACTCTGATGTGAGACAGACACACTTTTTATATTTAACCGGGTTTCTCCTTTACATTAGGTAGTCAGCCAACTTTTTGCCTAGTTTACATACTTCCTTTAGCAACAAACTAAGCAGACACGTGCCGTGGCTCCTTTTAATTTTTTCGCTCTTAAACCCTTCTGCTACGTCATATTAGCTTTGTTCCTTATTTTTCGTCAAGACTTAAACTGAGATTTTATATTTTTTTGTTGCTCTTTTGGCCACTTGGGGGGAGCAGAAACAAGGTGTAAACACAACATTGGAATATTATCTACTTATGATGTTGATATGACCAACTTGGAAGGAAACTATTGTTTACCAACTTTTGAAATGAACTAAAAGAAAATAAACTATTACCCACTTTTTTGGAATCCATACATTTCCCTGCAATTGCCTTGAGAATATATTTGAAGAGTTTATTGATTTCCGATATAGGATTAAATGGTTTACCCCAAACCTGCACTACACTTATGAACTGCTAATGCCTTTGTGGACAATTACGTATTGTAGTTTAAAAGGTGATTTAGAGGGCCTTCTGTATCAATCTGCCAAACAGAAAGCTGCCCCCAATCTCCATCAAATTGTTTGCTTCATTTAACCGACGGGATCAATAGTACAATAGAGGGCAGGCCTCTTCCCTCTGCTCATAACCTAGTGTTATTTTCACGTTTTAGATATAAAGTTACAGAAATAATTTTCACTTCAGTTAGTTTTAAAGTACTTTCATCCACTTAGATGTGCTTTGTATCAGAAGTAGAATCATATTCTAAAGAAAAGTTTTTTGGATCTCGAGGGGAAGCAGAAAAGTGTACTTGAGGTCACTCAAGTACATTATTTTCCTTAAAATGAATTCTCAATTGAAAGAAACTTCACATCGCATAATGCGAAACTCAAACAGTGTTTTAAAATCTTCTTAGTATAGAGATAACCACCTCAGGCAGAGAAACAAGTAAAAAATTCAAGGACATATCACAGTCTTCATGACAAGAATTTTATTTTCATTTTTTTAATTACATTTTGCATTAAATTAAAGAGTTTTTTTCTTTACAACATACATTAAGCTGTGAATCAGATGTTAAGGAAGTGAAGAGAGTAGGGCAAAAAACTTTGTGACGTCACAATATCTTACAAGCTTACAAAGTTCAAAAGGTTGAGAAGTTGAGAATAGAGTCGATTTGCATCTAATAGCAGTGTATTATAACAAGGGTGAAAGACAAAAAAGGCACACACCAAAGAACCTCACTGTCCACAGCAGACTTCACAGTCAAACCCAATCAAGTCTTTAAAAATGTTCAAACCCTGCTCTGACATCAAAACACTTGATGTTACAGAATCTTAAATGCACCCACAGCAAAACTGACTCATCAACACAGGATGTGGACATTTAACCCTCTGACCTCAACAGATTTTCTTGTTCACATTCTGTGCGGACAAGGCAATTCTCCAAGGTGAGAGCCACCACAACAGAACATTTCAAGACAAGAAATATTTAGTTGTAGATCAGCATTATTCCAGGTCTGGGAAAGTTGCTGGTTTATGCACTCCTCAATACACTGGAGGGTTTAAATAGGGCCTTGTAGTGCCCAGTAACCAGTCTACAATGCAGTGGTATTCTGAAAGTTTGGAGTAAGCACATCCCTTCATACTAATCTTGGGCCATTTGCACTGTGAAGATCATAGCTTTATGTAATCACTGGGATAACTGTCTCAACTGACCCCAGACCAAATTTCTGAAGGGGAACTTTCCTTTCAACCTAATCTATTGCCAATGACCCTGTCATTGGCAACCAAACCCTGCAATACACATTAGTTAGGTCACAGATCCTACACGTCCTTCTCACGTTAGATGTGGATTGAGACATAGTTGGCTTTCCTCCATTGAGAAACAGAAAATTGCTTGATATCAAGGAAACTTTTACCTATCTACACATACAACACTAAGGGAGTGCTCCATTGATTTAAGTGTTGGAGGGGAGGTGGTCAATGAAAATCCTCAAGTAAAAAGGAAGTGAAAGCAAAAAAAGTTCAGATTAGTCAAACTCTCAGCCATTCATACGGCCTTGATAATGAGAGTTAGTGAAGCAAAAAAAAAAAACGCATCTCTAAACTTCCTCAAACTGTGTTTTCTCGTACAAAAAAGGGGGTTAAATAGGGTACATTTTTTAATATTCTTGTTTTAAAATGTCAACTTTGTTCACAGGAACCAGCCTGTTTATGCAACTGCCTACTGAGTTAGTGTTACGATGCACAAAAGAAGCCTAGAACTGTGTTAGTACACTGGGTGCTTATGTGTATCGCATACTGTATGTTTGCTAGTGTTGACGTTGCAATATTATTGCAGTGCACCTGAAAGATACACATACATTGGCCTTCTCAAGTAACAAATGTTAATTGCTCAGTTAATCAGTCAATCAACCATCACTCCAAACCAACAGACAGCAAAAAAAAAGTAGAAACAAATACCAGGACTTTTAAATTGTATAAAATATAAAATCAAAAACACTCACAACGTCTTCATCGACACTGCCAGCACAACATAAAGGGTTGCTTTAAGCGCATTAATGGCACAATCAGAAATGAACCACAAAGATGAGTGTGTATGTGCATGTGTGTGTGTGTGTGTTTCTGTCTGTGTGTGTGTTTGTGTTTGTGTGCGTGTGTGTGAGAGAGAGAAAGAGTGAAAGCAGAGAGGGAATCCTCCTTCCTCTCTTCCCTCCGGACTGTAAGTGTGTTATGTCTAGGGACCAGAATTACAACAATAACACCTACATTCTTTAATTGCATTTTATCAAACCAGGGAAATATCATGACGTAAGAAAAATAAAAAAATACTACAAGGAGACAAAGTTAACAGCTAATAAAGAAAACATTGTCACTACTTTAGGGTGTAAGGCACAAATTTACATGTGGAAAAAGAAGCAGGCATTACAGATGTTTTTATAGTTTTCTTTTTCACCTGCTCATCTGCTTGACGCCGCAAGAAAGAGACGATACTTTCCGAGATTGGAGGCATCGCACTGTTTGCTTGCAACGTCTTCTTTTTGTATGTGTGTATGCAGATTCCCATACTGTTGCTGCAGCTGCTTCTCTTATATTTGCAACATGCAACAGTGAGCTTTGATGGCACTGGTAAGCCAGCAACCAATCAGGACAAATGTTACTGACTCACACAAAACCACAGTGCTGATTGGGGTGGGGGGGTAGGGGGCGGTGGTGCTCATTGGAGGAGTGAAAGGGTGAGATTCAGGAAGTCTTTTTTATGATTGGTCTAAAACAATGGAAATTCTGGTCCATGAAGGTAAAAGTCCCTGTCTGGCACAGTTTAAATAAATATCTCCTCCTCTTCACAGAGGTCACATATATCTCAAGCTGAAGGTCCCGCTGAGCACACAGTAAGACCTAGTGGACCTTTAGTCATCAAGAAAGTTCTACAGGCTCCAGTTTAATGACTTTAAATACGTTTTTTTTTTTCTCACACTTGATTAATTAATATTAAAAGATCTCTTCTCTGTCCTCTCTCTCTCTCTCCGAGCCTAAAAAGTCAGTCTTTTTTTTCAAAAGCACTTCATAAAAATAAATACAACAAGCTATTAGTATTAACAGTCATGTGTTATTCAGTAACCAGTACAGTAGAAGATTCCTCTGGCCCAGGCTTTCAGTCAAACCCAGGCTGGACTTGATTGCTGTAACACTGAGAGGCTTTTCACAGTTTCTCACAGAACCCAGGCAGCTGTCTGTCCTTTCAGTCTGAGCTCAATCTCTCTGAGTGTTTGCTCGCTCAGATTTCCAAGTCCTCAAGGTACTGTACAACAACTATTTTCCAACCCCCCGTGCTGTCTTCTTATGTACTTATACCAACATGATAAAGTATCAGGTCAAGTCTCAGTGGCCAGAGACACCACGAACAAGAGAGCCACCGCCTTGGATGCTACAGGGCGCCGTTGGTTGAAATATTCAGGACAGCATGATCTTCTTCTGTTTCAGTAGCACATGTTCCCATGTGTGTTTACAGAGGAACTGGGAGCCAGCCAGAGCATGAGCTCAATGACGGCAAGAAATGACGACAACCATTTGTATAATATTTACATATTTATATAAAAAGAAAGTGTTTTCTTAAAAAAACTGTGTTGCATTTTCCACTGTACTGTACACCAAAAACAAACAAACAAAAAACACTAAAAGGAGATGCAAGTTGTACAGTATTCCCTGTTTTTTCTCTCTTTCAGAAAAAAACTTTCACTACTGTCCGTTCACATTGGACTGACTGGCAAACTAGCTGACTATGTGCAGGAGTCACTGGACTTGACTTTTGTCGAAAGTGAGACTACGGAGGGTTTGGGGGGGACATCAGGCTTGAGATACTTGATGCCCGTTCGAGGCAGTGAACCGTATGAGCTCATTCCAGGCTGCCTTGACAGAGATATGCCCTGTGCTGTCATTTGTATAGAGTCCACCCTCTGAGGTGCAGGGGGAGGAGTCTCCACACGGTTGAAGCTGTGATGTCTCGCCAAATGGGAGGAGTTAGATGAATTGGTATTGTGCTTCTTGAGGACGGAGGATCCGGAAGCGGCAGATGCAGATCCCTTCCGGAGCCCATAGACTGACGAGTGCACTTCCAGGCGTTTGCCCATCTGTGGGACGGCCGGAGGGATAGTGAGAGAGGCCTCTCGTTGGGGCACGCGTGGTGGCATCACCCCATCAGGATCAACCATGGTGAGGTTGTGACAGGGGCTCTTGACTGTCTTGTACTCCAGGGTGGCCCCCTGGTCGTCCATGACACTGTGGCCCATACTGAGGTCACTGTGGTGGGGCTGCTCCACGTACTCGTGCTGGTAGGACTGCTGGTGCTGCTGCAGATGAGGCTGGAGCTGGTGCTGATGCTGTGGCAGAGGCAGGACTACAACGCTGGGGATGTGCCCCGGTGAAGCCCTGAGGGGAAGGTCTGTAGAGATAACAGGAGAGCCCATTGGTGGCATGTCCTTGGTGCAAGCATTGATGAGGTTCTGGTTCCTCTCCCACTCCCGGCTACCCCGGCTGGGCTTACGACGAGGCTGCATGGGGGTGGATTCAGGTGTTGGCAGAGCAGCGAGGTCCAGGTGGTGCTGGTCCGCTTTTATCAGCATCTTCCCATTCTGATTCAGTCTCCCGTTGTGCATCAAAGGGGTGAGGATTGCCTCGGGGCGACCGTCTTTGGCCTGTGTCTCAAACAGGCCAGTCAGCTTGGTCACGCTGTTCATGGATCCCCGGCGGGCGTGAAGGTGGTGGCTGTCCTTTTCCTTGCGGCCTGTCAGGTCCATGTCTCGCCGCCGGTGGTCACAGACACAGTAGACAATGATACCAGAGAAGATGGCGCCCATGGCAAAGGCTAGGATGACAGCGATGGCCAACAAGGTCACGGGAACTAGCTGGTCGCGACCCTTTTGGTAGCTCTCACGGATCACACCTGCAGGGAGACGTGGAGATGACATTCAGACTGGCAGACTAAAAGAAGGAGACATGATACTGCTGGTACTGTGTGTTGTGAGAACTTGTTTCTTGGCTTCTAAGAAAAATAGAGCTGTTAGGAAAGATGCTTATTATTAGACTCACCAAAAAATAGAAAATGATATTGAATTACAGTAATTAAAAGATATTTTCTGGGTAAAAAGATTAACGGTTTAAATCATTTCATGAAAAACATGCAAATGAAGATGGGGTTATCCCATCATAAGGAACACCTATTCAAAAAAGGCACAAATGGTAGCTTGAAGTAGCAACATTCAATATTTCCCAAAAAATCCAATCTTAGACTGAAAATGTGTTTTGGAGGGGTGATTATGATTCACATTTTAAATCCCAGATAAACCCCTCTGCTGAAATGAAAAAAAGATAGGAGCGCAGATAAAGGAGCCTGAAATACTCAAACCCTTTCTTCCCATAGATGCAAATGGGAGACTTTTCATAAATCTTCATAAATGGATCCAATCTCATGAATCACAGAGAATACATTAAAAAGCCTCTGATTAGGCGCTAAATCCAGTGAGCTGTGTCATCAGTGTCTTATGAAAGCGGCACTTTCAAAGACTGGCAAAGACGTGCCGCGATACGGCCAAATAAAAGATAATTCAATAAAAGCGGCCATGAAGTATTCTAGAGGCAGGAGAGTGGGAGCAGCAGGTTGTGTGTAATAGAATGGGGTCAACAATAATATGCACATTCATACACACAAATGTGAAGACATGCACTGCACCCCAAACACACACACACACACACACACACACACACATGCTCATGATAACCTCCAGCCTGTTGATGAATGTAGACATCTAATGCAGCACTCTGTTCCTTGGGTTAAACACACCAGTCCACAGCAGAGAGATTTATAATGCATTCACACATGACCTGTGGCCAACACAGATCAGTTACCACAAACAGAGGATTAGGCAGGTGGGCTCTATCACGTACACTGTATCCCACAGTGCACCGCTGGTCTTGATAACGTGACGTTACACATGTGAACTACACATGCTGTTTGTGTCCCAAGGAGGTCATAAAAACCTGAAAAACTGTACAATGCTAAAAAAAAAAAAAAAAAGATGGAAGTTTTCAGTGGATGATATAGCTAATGACCATAATGTAATATTCATATGTATGAATGGAATTCATCTTCCATCCATTATGCCAGTGTGTGTCTCCAGTACAGAGGAGGTGTGTTTACAGTGAATATATGTTCTAAAATAAGCACTCAGTGGGTGTTATGATTTGTATAACAGCTTATAGAAATCTTAGACATTTTCATTTACTTGGAATTTACATAAAAGTGGCTGAAAATGCCTTTGACTGTGTCTTCTTTGTTTCAATTCAATTCAAAAGGATTTGCATGAATAAAATCTTGTTTTTTAGTTAATCTCTTAGGAATCTATCTGTCTTATGTCTGTATTTCCTCAACAGGAAAATCAAATGAAATGTATTTTGAAAAGTGACTGAACTGAGTAAATAAAATAAGAATACCTAAAATAATAATACAGATATTTAAATACACAACAGCAACATGAACATTAATTTTATTCCTCAAAACACACACCGTACACAGGAAATTGACTAAACAAATACATTCAAAAATACCTTAGTTTGAGCTGCGAACATCAAAGTTTAACACAACACAGTACCAACAACAATTGTCAACAAGCAGATTGTTGCAATTCTGTCTTTTCACAGTTTGCTGTTTTCCACCAATCACAAAAATGAAGCGTTAGTTGCAATAATTCTGTAAAATCCTGAAGGGGCTGGGTAATCATGTTTAGGCTTTTCAACTCGGCTGTGTCACCGAGGACGTACTCTGAGAATATTTTCTTTCTGTGTCTCCTCAGCAAGACACAACGCAGACACAGAGACAACATGGTAATCTGTTCTTGTGGAACCGAAATCCAGACTCTCTTAAACTAACATCCATAATCCTCACTCGCTGCAGTCATACTTCATTAGTCCAAAAACATGACTTAAAATCAGTTTTCCAAGCTGATATAAAGCACTGAGCAATGCCTGAGTCTCTGCGTTCACTTTAAAGCTCAACCTGGATAAAAAAAAAAAACAGTTACTTTCACACAGATCATTCCTCTTTTATTGTAAAAACAAGACTTCACTTTTCTTTTTAATAGAGTGCTGACAAGACACAGCTCAGCCATATCTCATTTAGAGTTAAACAAAAGGTTTAAAAACGTCTTTTCTGGCCAAAATAGTTTCTTATCATGGACGTGCCCTGCTGTGTAGATAGTGTGAGAAGTGATGAGTGTTATCTGCAATGAAGCATTAAGGTTTGACATGTGTTATGCTGTGGACTCATGTGACCAAATGGCCCGCCTGTCCGACAAAACATCTGCTTCACATCTCGTACAGTAACATCTGCGAAAGAGAGAGATACTTTTCCTCTGCGCTATCTTTCATTTTGTTGCCTTTCTTCTGCCCTCACTTAGATCTTTTTTTCCTCCGACTCGCTGCTACTCCTCTCCATCACAGAAACAATGAATCACTTTTCTGACTTTCTTCTTGTTTCGGAGTGTTTTCTTTCACGTTGTTCAGTTCCCATATGGTAAGTGTCCTATTCAGTGGAAACTGGGAAGACTGTAATTATAACCTCGTGGTCTTTGTAAGTTATCATCCTTTGGCAGAAACGACAATGGTGACGGGTGCCGTTTCAGAGCTGCTGGGCTAAGCGCTTCCGTGAACAAAGAAGAAAAGAAAGAGGAATACAGCTTCACCTGAGGAGAGGAGCTCTAAAAATCTCCAAAAACCATTTACATAAGAAAATGAAAATGCAAGCATAAACAAATACTTTGGCAAATCTCTCGTTTTTTTTTTTTTTCCATAATCCTTGTTAAATGTAAATACATCCATCCATCTTAGTCTAGGGTGCTTACATTCTGAAAGAGCAAGTCAAAACTGTTATGAATTTTCATGACAGTGAATTTATTGCCGCTAAAGGTTAACTTTCTTTGACCGGGGATTTGGATTTCACATTGAATAACAAAGGCGGAGGAAAGCAGAGCAAAACGGGTGTCCATTCTGATGAAGGAGGCAAACTGTAGAGCTAGATCTTTGTCTTCTACTCCGGGTGTGGGAGCTGAACTTAAAGCCCTATTTAACCTGCACTGCATGGTCCCTTCCTGTCTGCTTCTTAAAAAAAACTCTTTCATTCTCTTTCTCAGGTTTTCTTCCCCTTCCATCCATCACTTATGTCTCACACACTTCCCACTTAGTGTGTGTACTTAGCCCAAGGCCTTATGTAAAATGCGAAAGAAAGAAAAAGAGGAAACTTTGAAGACTTCCATCTTTCATGTGAGGAATTGTTTCTCATCCCAACATCAAAGAGAATGATAGAAGCCACAGAGGACACAGGAGGTGTCTCTGTCGAATCACAGGACTTCAGGGTTTTGAATCAAGGTGGCTATGCCGCTCATTTTTTGAGGCCCATTTGTGATCTCAGCAAAACTTTTAAAAACTTTCTCAACATGACCTTGAAAAGTATCAAAGTGTTGCTAAAACCCACAGATTTTCTGCTTTAGTCTCATCTTGTTGGGGTTCTGACTATACAGTGACTTATAATCTTCTGGTTTCAACTCTTGCCTTGCCCCCAGAATGCCTCACAAGACATCCTGCAGTTCGACACTTCTCTCAGCGGTTGAATTGATTTGAATTTCACACCGCCTCGGGCCTCAACATTCAGATATTAAACACATATCTCAGATACTCAGATATTTCTCGCTGTCAAAACAGCCTGGGACGGCAACACTCAGTTGTAAATCAGAAACATTGTAATTTGCTGTGACTGGACTTGTGAATGCTCTCTCTCTGTCTGTCTGACACACACACAGACACTTGTTTAATCTCTTCAGAAGCACCAACTGACTTAAGCCCACAGAGCTTGTCTTTGTGTTGGTGTTGGGAAAACTTCAAAGGTAGTTAAACATCACAGAGAGGTTACGGAGAGGGCTCTAACCTCTGACTGCAGGCTGTTACACAAAGACATTGTCTGCGAAATGATAAAAATCTTAATCAGACTTAACTGCACTGACTGACGTGTCACTTGTTGAAAGACAGAACAGTGGACCTTGTCGGCTAATGGAGTAGAAGAAAAGATGAAGGAGAGGAGCAGAAAATGTTTAGCCCCTTACATTTACTTCACTGCTGCGAGCGCTTTAGAAACATCTTATTTGTTTCCAGGGACTTGCTTGTTGTCATCTATTTAAAAAGGACATTGCTGTTTAGATGATGACAGCAATTCATTAAGTTCTATTTAATCTCCAGTTAGGATATAATCCCATTAAGTCTTGTGTATGTTTATGTTCGAGAGGCACTTGCATTAATGGTGTTATTCAATATTAAAACATTCATCAGACAATCGTGAGTCACTGCACGGCATACTGATGAGCAAGTTAAGATATAATTAAACCCTTAATTATATCGTTCTGCACCTCAGGTATTAACACCAACTTACTAACCTATCCACCTTCCTGCAAACAAACAGTAGTATTTATTACTCACAGGAAATCAGGATACATTTTCCATCAGGTGTTTGATGCCTTAAATTGACACCTCTACTGCTTGAGCTATAGACTTATTAAAAAGCACTGCCTGCATGAATAACACAGCCAAAACAATTATTTAATTATTTCTGAATCCCCCTGCTATTATTGCAGGTTTACTGCAATGAATCATAAATCATAATTTATAAAAATCTGGATTTTTCTATTGAGAAAAACTGTGGTCTGACCTCCTGCTAATTAGTAATCAATCTTGACGAGTCACTGTTATATAAATGGTGACCCACTGAATTGTATTTCATTATGCTATGATTGCTGAATGTGTGTGGCAAAGTCTGACTTGTATGGATGGCTAAAGTGCTATGTGTGCTGCATTATGTGTTGTAATTCATCCAGTTATAACTGCAGGCAGAAATAATCATTC